GTATATATATATATATATATACTGGTGTATGTGCAACTATATACTTTGTATTGTTTTCCTTTTACTAATCTACTGAACAAACCTGTCCGAATAAAGAATACAAACACATAAACTATCATTCTATTCATTACTAGCTGGAGTACCAGTCACCAGGACGGAAGTTATGTAAATTCATGACTAATGAAAGGTTATCTTAGGACATGAAAGTTGCTTCCCTTAAATATAATTGTAAAAAATGCCCATAAAAACCGCAAAATACAAAACTAAAAATAGTGTATGTATCTTCCCATGGATCCAGTGAACCTTCATACCAAATTTGGTAAAGATCCATTTAGAGTGGTTAAAAACGCGAAACCGTAAGAACGCCCATAAAAACAGCAAAACGCAAAATTTGCATGTATCCCCGCATGAACAAAAGAAAATCCTCACCAATTTTGGTGAAGATTCGTGCACACCCTACGAATTAGTTACATGGATATACAACAAACAACATATATATATTTATATAGATACAGAAGATAACTTTATAGAAACAAATAGAATATGCTAACATAGTAGTTTACCGCCGCAGAAGCAAGTTATAATGCCACTGATGACATGTTTAGCGCTTCTATATTTTGGTTAATGATGAATTTCAAATATATTATTATTTGAATAATAATTCAAATATGTACTATCGAAAAACCCAAAAATATTCTAAAACAAATTAGAAAGCTTTCGCGTATTTTGTAAACCTGATTTCCTATTCCTGTCACTGTTTGAAATTGTCTAGTGTTTCAAGGGTGGTACAAGCACGAATATTTAGTGTTATTCTGTCGAAGAAAGTGAAATTATGGCAGTACATAATATCCTCATTTCTACATTAAAGTTATATTCTGAAATGAAGAGTCAATTATTTTTTATTCCCAAAGTTGTAGCGCAGCTTCCCACTTTGCTTGAAACTAATACTTTCCTCTCTTTTTTTTTCATTTCAATTATACAGTTCTCTAACTATTGCAACCTGTCCAACTCAGCTGTCAGTTGGCAACCAATATATGGTGCTAATCCAAGTTCTCTTCTTGAACTTCCTGTTCAATAGACAGAACTTAAACTTTCTTTCTACAAAAATGAAGAAGAAAATAAAAGATTGTGGAGTAACGTTAATTCGGAAGTTCCATTGTCGCGTCTGAGTCTGTCACACTGTCATGCTAAATAAGTTTCAATCAATTCGATTTCTACCAGCATAGACAGAGGTTTATTATTCAATATCGGTTTTTATCTCTCTCTCATAATTATTTGTTTGCTTGTTGAATTTGGCACAAAGCTTCTCGAGTAATATCTGTGCCAGCCATCCCTAAGTTTGGAGTAATATATTAAAGGGAAGGCAGCTAATCAACACCACCCACCGCCAACTCTTGAGCTACTCTTTACCATCTAATAGTGGGATTTACCGTCACATTGTAATATCTCCACAGCTGAAACAACAAGCATGTTCAATAACAGAGTTCGATCCCGCGACCGGCACACAGCAAGTCGAGTGCTCTAACCACTGAGATTAAATATTTTTATCTCTTTCTAATATAGAATAAATGCACATTTATTTGTATAAATCGTTAGATATGTAGCTGGAAGCATTGCTACTTAAATAATTAATGGTGATATTTAATACAGCCCTGGCGCTAGAGGTAGTGAAGTGCTTTCGTCTTGATGGTAGTATTTAATACAGCCCTGGCACCAGAAGAAGTGTAGTGCTTTTGTCTTTGTGGTAGTATATAATACAGCCCTGGCACCAGAAAAAGTGTAGTGCTTTCGTCATGATGGTAGTATTTAATACAGCCTTGATACCAGAGGAAGTGTAGTGCTTTCGTCTTAATGGTAGTATTTAATACAGCCCTGGCACCAGAGGAAGTGTAGCGCTTTCGTCTTGATGATAGTATATAATATAGCCCTGGAACCAGAGGAAGTGTAGTGCTTTCGTCTTGTTGTTCTGTTAGTTATTTGGTATCGATGGCTGCATGTACCGCATCATATATTATTGGACGTCTAGCTCCAAACTGTTAAAATGTACTTTGTGAGTACGTTTGTTTAAGAGGCTTAAAGTACGTTATAGCATAACCTTCAACAACAGAAAAAGTACATTTTGGTTTGGTAGTAATATTTTTAAGTCAGATTATAATTCTGTATAAGTTTCGACATCACGCGTTTACTAATTGACCTAGAATCATGGATGCATAAACAACCATGTTCGTATCAGTTTATAGTACATTTTTGAGTTTTCCTAGAGCTTTTGCACAAAATGATATTTGAATGTAGGTGTTGCGATATTATTATGAAGAATCTGTGAATGTTCGTGTGTTAGCAGCAACGGTAAATAAAAGAATATTAATGCTGTGTTGTTACACATAGATCCTAAACAACTGTTGTAATATGTTCTAAACTTTTGTCGAAACATGCGTCTCGTGTAATCAATTTATTCAAACTTATTCTACACAATTCCGTGCCTTGCTCTCATATATTGACAGATCTGTGAACTAATAATAATAATATTATTATTAAGTTCAACATTATTAATAAAAACTTTTGATGTTTTAAAACAAGTTAATGATGTTAAAATAATAAATGAAGCTGCAAAAACACTTCGTACTTTGAAAATATCAGAATAATGACACTCATAAGACGTGTCACATACAATAAAGGTGTGACACTCAAACTAGTTTTTTTAATAATAAAACACATAATGCAATTGTATTTAAAGACATAATTTTATGGTTATCTTAATGTCATTATAACAAGACATCTATTATACTAGTTGGTATAAACAAAATATGCAAACAAATAACAACAAAAATGTAAAAAAAAAAACGTTTTTGTCGTAACAATAAGTCACAATCCACGTTGTCAACTAGACGCATGGCACATAGACAAAACGACTCGTCACTTATATATGTATATGTATTTATACATATATATATAATTTAAGAAGAACAAGAGATTTGCTGGTTCTTCTATGCCATCCCATTCACTAAGCTTTAAACTGACAACAAAATACTCAAAGTCAACCCTTATCATTCAAATATTTTTCAATCCTTCTCTTAAACTTTTTTAAATTAACTGCATCCACCACCTGTTGTAAAAATAAAGCTGATTACCTTAAAATGACTACCCTGCCAAAATTTATATTTGTGTCTCCTAGTCATACCATTCTCAAAATTAAGTATGAAAAGAGATGACACACCAGCACTAACAATTTCTATAACAATATTAATCACTTCAATCAGATCCTCTTTAACTCTTCTTTTTGCTAAGAGAAAACAATTTCAGAGATCTTAACCTATCCTCGTATGATTCTATTAGCTCTTCTATGAACTCTTTTCAAGAATATAATGCCCTTCCATAAGGTAAAGAGGCCAAAACTGAACGCAATATTTCAAATGTGGCCTAAACCAATGACCTATAAAATGAAATTATAACCTCTTCAGACTAATATCATTCAATATTTTTGTAGATACAACTTAAAATCCTATTTGTCCTGCCATTAGCAACAGTACACTGCTTGGACGGCGTAACAGATTGATGAACTAAAACACCAAAATCCTTTTCTTCCTTAACACTGTT